GGCTTTTCTTGTATATCGTATACTACATATAATCTGCCTTATTCTTTTGACATCTCAAAAGAAGTTAACAAGTGGTTCAGAGTTATTTCCGAGTCAAAAGTTTTAACGCCGCACAGGCCTTATTCTGACCGTGAATCTTTTTCACCCTTAGATTGCTGCTGTGGGTATGACCACACAGTCCCTCTCCAATACTGGTGAGGATAAGCCTACCATCAACCTTCCCCCGTACGACGAGCAAGGGAGACTACCAAGCAGGAAGCGGAGATTCAGAAGGTCTCTCCCCGCACCAGCGGATGGACAGGAGTCCAGGTACTAGGTGAAGCCGCGCGACTTCGTTGAAAACGACGCTGAAATTCACAACGGTCCGGACGGCATGGCCTCCACTGATGCCCATCTGACGCCCGATGCTATGGTAAGAAGGTGAAAATGACAGGGTTTTTGAAGGCACATAAAGTTTTATAATAGGAATAAAGAATTGTAACTCCGAAAAGGAGGCAGTGCCGCCAATCTACGTATAAGCACTGCATGTTAGTACTTGTAATACACAACAAATAACTATCAGTTAAAAAATTCAGATGTTGTAGAGTGTATTTTAGAGTTTATTAGCCTTCGGGTATGATTTTTCAATAGCGCGATTACTATTATTATCGTTGATACACACTATTGACCGTCAATGATACTTCACAAAATCAATTCTTTAAGTACACCTTTAAAAAATGCATAAAGCTTCCGTTTCTTCTCTCATCTGTACCTTACGTATGCTTAAAGATGTGCTTAAAAATGGGATTTTGAAAAGTGCTTTATACTCAATTGCAGGTTCCCATGGACATGACTCCTCCGGCAGACCACACAGAGAATGCTCAAGTTCTTGATAACCAGACGGAGACTTTCCGTTCTGAAGGCTGGAAGCGGTTCCGTGTCGAGCAGAATCACACGGAAGGCGCCAACAGTACCACCGAGGCCCCAACCGTCCCACCACATGTAGTTGGTGACGAGGAGGCAGAAGTGGCCCACGACTGGGGCTACACAACCGGAGAAAACCACTGCAACAACGTCCGAGTTCGTCGCCGCGTTTCCAAGGTATTATATTACTATTATCATTGATACACCCTTGACCGTCTATGGCACTTCACAAAATCCATTAAGCAATACTGGCATAAAGGTTCCGTTTCTTCTCTCACCTGTACCTTTAAGTATTCTTAAAGATATTCTGTACAGTCACTACAGTGCTTCCTACTCACTTGCAGGTACCCGTTGGCATGACTCCTCCGGCAGACCACACAGAGAATGCCCAAGTTCCTGACAAACAGACGGAGACTTTCCGTTCTGAAGGCTGGAAGCGGTTCCGTGTCGAGCAGGATCACACGGATGGCGCCGACAGTACCACCGAGGCCCCAACCGTCCCACCACATGTAGTCGGTGACGAAGAGGGAGAAGAAGTGGCCCACGACTGGGGCTACACACCCGGAGAAAACCACTGCAACAACGTCCGAGTTCGTCGCCGCGTTTTCAAAGTTCCCTTCCCGGCGACAGACGACAGCTCCGCCACTAGGGTGACTCATCTGGAGCCCAAGCCGAACTGCTCACTTTGACTTGACAAGAAAGTCAGCGGCGACGTCGACAGCATGGGCACTGACCGCAATGGTGCTATGGGCAATGTCTTCACGAAGAACTCTACAGACTTGAATCTGTACTTGGATGCCGTGCTAACAGACATTATGAAGAGCCACAAGAGAAAGCACTACCGTGGCCTGAAACGTATCAAACGGAGCAAAGCCATCGTCGTGCTGGCAGCAGTTGGTGTGCTGATCGCTGGCTCTGTGGGACACGTCTATTTGCGACAAATTGTACCGTGAACGGGGCCCTTATACTTTGATCCACGCTATGCTTATCTGAGTTCTGATATACTGCTGATGAAATTATGCCCCGCCATATCACCAAAGCACTGTATCTACTTGAATAATTGGATTTCGAGGCCAATATAGCTTCATACACATTCAAACTTTGTTTATTTTATCCTTAAAATATATGGAACGTACCCGTGACCTGACCTTATTTACAACCCATGTTTCGTGCGAAACAAAAGCTGCAGTTTTCTTTTACATCTTGTATGGACAGGTCCTACAGACCTACAATGTAATTTCATGCAGCATCCGTTTCTACGAATAAGAAAACAGTATTGTCGGGAAAATGTTGTCTTATTTGTCGTCAGTGTCATGTTTAATACCAAGGACAGGGAGGCTTGTCGGTGTGTAGATTGTGTTCAGTACAAAGGAAAGGTATGTTTGCTTGGGCTCAGATGGTGTTTAGTACCAAGGACAGGTATGCTTGCCTGTGTGTAGATTTCAGTGCCAAGGAAAGGTATGCTTGCCTGTGTGTGGATTTCAGTGCCAAGGAAAGGTATGCTTGCTTGTGTGTGGATTTCAATTTCAGTGCCAAGGAAAGGTATGCTTGCTTGTGTGTGGATTTCAGTGCCAAGGAAAGGTATGCTTGCTTGTGTGTGGATTTCAGTGCCAAGGAAAGGTATGCTTGCTTGAGTGTGGATTTCAGTGCCAAGGAAAGGTATGCTTGCTTGAGTGTGGATTTCAGTGCCAAGAAAAGGTATGCTTGACTGTGTGTAGATTTCAGTGCCAAGGAAAGGTATGCTTGCTTGAGTGTGGATTTCAGTGCCAAGGGAAGGTATGCTTGCCTGTGTGTGGATTTCAGTGCCAAGGAAAGGTATGCTTGCCCGTGTGTGTTTGGATTTCTGTGCCAAGGAAAGGTATGTTTGCTTGTGTGTGGATTTCAGTGCTAAGGAAAGGTATGCTTGCTTGTGTGTGGATTTCAGTGCCAAGGAAAGGTATGCTTGCTTGAGTGTGGATTTCAGTGCTAAGGAAAGGTATGCTTGCTTGTGTGTGGATCAGTTCAGCACCAAGGGCAGGTATACATGCTTGGGTCGTGTGTAGATTGTGTTCAGCACCAAGGACAGGTATGGCTGCCAGTGTGTGAACTGAATCCAGCATCAATGACAGGTGTACTTGCTTTTGTGTGGATTGTGTTAAGAAACTACATAAATATATAAACCTTGTAGTTTCAATACCTCTTTGTTTTCTTGTTTTTATTACTTCTCTTAGCTCCATAAACTTTTTTCAGTTTCAAAAACTACAGAAGTCAGCTGTATATATAATGCAAATGTCACACATCAGACATCATATCATACAACAATCCAAGAATCAGAAATATTGAAAGTGTTAAGCAAAACAATACTTGCTACGGGAACTGCTTTGGGAATATTTCCCTTTAATTACAAAAAAGGACTATAATATAACATAAAACATTACAGAAATGTACATACAAATGTATATAGAAGCAGAAAATGTGGCACAGCCACTCTCTGAATACCAGTAGTATTGTATTGTGGCTGAAAGCAACACTGTTTAGAAGAACCAAGGTCCAAAATATTCAAACAATGTGCTTCTGAGCTAAAAACAAGTATAGAATCTTGAATAGTTTTCAGATACGAGACACATAATATATTTCTTTCCTTTGGCTTTTATAGAATGTCACTGTTTTCAAATAAGTCTGAAATAAACATCTATCATCTCAAACTACAGAAAATAAATATGTTCTTCTAGTCCTTGTTTTACCATTTTATGGATCCTTACACCCTGACTTTATATTAGACCAAAGGAGTAAAAAGGAGCTACTATGAAATTTAAGTTTACCACTTGTATGAAATTACTTTCCATTCACAATAGAGGCTACTTTTAAGTGCTCAAGCATTGAACAGATCATCATATAACAATTCATTGGCAGTCCAGTCTAGGAAGACTATTAACAATAGCTCTCAATTTATTTCAAACTATAATTTTTTCTCTTAACATGGCATAACAGAAATCACCCGTAAGTCATATTTCAAGCCACCCATGATCAGCACTTTGGTCTATATATGTAGCCCCTCGGCAGAACGTACTGCATCCGTTCGAAACCCAAGTGCATAGCACTCCAGCAGAGCGTCTCATTTAAGGTTTTATTTGCAAATATAAGGATGATTTCCAGGCTGTAGTTCTAAAACTTTTGTATCAGAAAATTCTGATGCAACACTCACCAAACAGCCATCGAAATCGAATCCAGGCTTAGCACAGGTGCAGTACATTCTGTCTAACTGCCGGTCTATATTAACTCTACAAATTAAAGAAGGCACATGTACAGTTAAACTACAGGGTTGTCCGTGGGAATATTGAGGCAGCTCGACGAGAAAACACCACAGGTACTCCTAGAAAAAATAGAAAACATTTCAGGATCAACATAAAGTTCTATTTCACTTACATTCTTGTTACTACTATTGGGGGAGATTTCATGAAATACAGAAATCTTACTTGTATTATGACCTACAAGTTGATAGTAATAAAATTGTTCCTTTTTATCATTATAAAAGTTCTCATGGTTTCTCAAAACAAGAGTTCAAGTTTACCAGGCTGTAGGACATGTTCCTGTCCTGTGGCCTTGACCTTGAGTCTCAGCTGCTGGTGACCTTGGTCCTGTCGTGTCAGCGTGACTCGGATCTGGTTACAGTCGGCTTCAAAGTTCAGCTTGTTTCGTCTGTAGCAGAACCATCCAAATCAAACCAAACAATTAATTAAATTACTTTCTGTAACCTAAACATGTAAGTTACATGTATGATCCACTGCTGCTAGTCACATGTGTTATCTGCATGACATAATGTGATGTCACAGAAGCGGTGGATCTCTCATTCCTTGTTCAAAACTTGCTTTATAATTATACTAGAGTTCCACGATCTCGTACCTTCGCCAAATGATGTTAGCCTTTATGACTAAGAAATTATAGATTTATCCCCCTGATTGTGCAAATAGGATCCTGTATTGCATCAATTATATCTGTTGATCATATTCTACACCAGAAGTCTTATCTTATCAAAGAATGCCATTATGGTATTTCCTAATAAATTATGCAAATGAGGTCCTTATTTGAATAAGTTATGTTTAATTATGTTCACCTTCACATAACTTTCAAATATCTCAAGTATGAAATTACAGGCAGTTACCACTATGTAATTATAACATTTACTCATTAATTATGCAAATTAAGTCCTCATTTGCATAATTGATATCTGCCTGTATATATTTCTGCCGTTCTACATGCAATTACATATGACACAAGCTTGAATAGTCCTTTCATAGAATGCAGCTTATTTATAGAATTTCCTCATTGATTATGCAAATTACATTAATATTTGCATAATTGTAGTATTATTATGTCAAGCATCACTTCAGGTACATAACGTTAACATGCTAAAAATCACGACGATCCATCAATTGGTTCTTGAGTTATCCGCCTTTAAACATTTTTCAACTAACGCCCCTGCAGTTCCAGAGCAACCTGCTAGCTGGCTCAAACTCATGTCACTTCATTCCCAGCCCAAGAGCTTCATCTTCATCTTTGCCGGGGCTCAAAGGTGTTATGTGAGCCCCGGCTACACCCCCATATAGCCCCTGATGGGGGATCTACCATCTAAATGTCATGACCCTAGCATGTCCAGATCACGAGATATCAAAGCCAGAAGTTCAGCTGCAGTACCATAACAAGCTGCTAGGGGGCCCAAAATCTAATCAGTTCCACGTGTCATGACCCACCTACAAATATATCAAGATAATCCATCTAAGCTTTCTCGAGTTATGCTGTTGACAGACAGACAGACAGACAGACAGACAGACACACGGCCAGGAAAACATAACGTGTGTTAACCTTCGTCAATTCTTGGCGAAGGTATTATAGGATAGGGTCTGTAGCATGGGATCAAACTAGTTGCCTCCATGCTTAGCCTGGATGCCAGACCCAAAGCACACTGGACACAAAATATCCCAGGCTCACTGAGATATTTGTGTCCAGTGTGCTATGGGTCTGGAACCCTGGCTACTCCATGCTCAGCTGGTCCGAGATCTTCAGCTTGGAGATTGCTGCTAGAGGCTGACCTGATCTCGCGAGACTTCTGACGAGACTTGCGTTACATCTGATCTGGCGGGAAAAGTCAAGAAGATGGCCGCGCAGCAGTAAATTTTGACGAATTTTCGTTACGTCAGGTCAACAACGACGGCCTTTTACATTAGGATCTAACATAACAGAAGAACAGACTTCATTTCCGTCCAGGTAAGAAGTGCCTGAATTGTCAGAATCAACCAATGTTCTGTGATTATGTTTTTTTGTGCGATCACAAACAACAGTGGCGGGCGGAGACATCCCGTCTTGCCGGCCGGCTGCCTCCTAAGAATCAGACGTACAGGAGTTGAACGTCTATGAATATATACTGACTGCCTCGATATACTAGTAGTTCTTAAAAGTCGATTGTGCAGGCACGATAGGCCAGAGCGAGCATATAAATACATGTCCTCGACTCCCCTACAAATTATACACCAGCGGAATAATTAGATTGGGCCGTTCAAAAAAATAACTGAGGAGGGGGGGTTGAAGAGCTTGGATTTTCTACTTTTTGACTCCCCTTTCATTTTTATCCAAGGGCCTTGACCCCCCTTCATCCAGGGGCCTAAGCCCCTTAAAAATTCTATCCAAGCGACTTGACCCCCCTATAATTTCATCCAAATCCAGGGTTAAACCCCTTCAATCCAAATCCACACTCACTATATTTAAACCCCCTTATGTAAAAGAACGTGGCTACATACACACCCGGTGTGTATATAAAATCTATTTGTCTTTTATGTACACACCCGGTGTGTATATAAAATCTATTTGTCTTTTATATACATAACCGGAAAGTTGATAGGGCAGACATTCGAATGATCTGTCGCCGGTGGGTTATCCAGAGTCACCAAAGGGACCGGGGCGAACCCCGGGTTGGTCTTGGTCTGATAAATGCACGCCAGACCGTGAGGTCGGCGCTTCTTCCGCATGTATTAGTTCTAGAATTACCACAGTTATCCATGTAGGATGTGACGATCAAAGGAACCATAACTGATTTAATGAGCCATTCGCAGGTTCACTGAGACAGTTCAAACTTGCACGTGCATGGCTTGATCTTTGAGACAAGCATATGACTACTGGCAGGATCAACCAGGTAGCGAGGACGCCAGGGGCGGGCGACCGGTCTCGCCGCCGCCGCCGGGAGCGGGGCCCCGCGCAAGCGGGGCGGTCCGCTCTCCACTCGACCGTCGGCACAGAGACGAGCGGCCGCAC